GACTGCTTTTAGGATGTCCCAGTGGTTTTTTTGCATTGTGTTCTTGTTTTTATTTTGTTCCAGGAATGCTTTTATTTCTTTTTTAATTTCATCTTTGCCCATTCATGATTCAGGAGTGTGTTGTTTAATCTCCATGAGTCCGTGTATTTACTAGAGCTTCTTTTGCTGTTGATTATAAGCTTTATTACACTGTGGTCTGATAGAAGGCATGGGATTATTTCAACTATTTTGTATTTTTTGAGATTTATTTTGTGCCCAAGAATGTGGTCAATTTTAGAATAACTTGCATGAGCTGGTGAGTAGAAAGTGTATTCTTTGGTGGTTGGGTGGAATATTCTGTATATGTCTGTTAGGTCCATTTCGTGTAGCATATCATTTAATTCATTTGTCTCTCTGTTTATTCTTTGTCCAATTGACCTGTCTATTGAAGAAAGTGGGGTATTAAACTTGCCCACTATCACTGAGTTGGTGTCAGTCTCTGTTTTATAATCCTGTACTACTGATTTTATGAAATTGGGTGCTCCAGAATTTGGTGCATGAATGCTCATGATTGTAATATCTTCTTGGTCAATTGTTTCTTTGATTAGAATGAATCTTTTATCTTCTGATGAGTTTTAATGTAAAGTATATTTTGTCATATATCAAAATTGCAACACCTGCTTGCTTCTTAGGGCCATTTGCTTGGAATATTTTTTCCCATCCCTTCACCCTAAGATAGTGTCTATCCTTGAAGGTGAGATGAGTTTCTTGAAGACAACAAAAATATGGATTTTTCTTTCTTGATCCATTGCTCCAGCCTGTGTCTTTTGACAGGGGAATTGAGGCCATTGATATTTAGTGTTATTATTGAAAGGTGTATATTGTGTACTCTAATTTTAATTCTTTTGTGTTTGTGGCCTATTTTTGTGTTTCCGTTGTTATACCTTTCTTTATTTTCTTTCTGGATCCTCTTGGGCATACTCATTCCTTTCTTCAGCCCCTTGTATTGCTTCAAGTATTCTCTGTAGTGCTGGTTTGGAAGACATGAATTCTTTCAGCCTATTTGTGTCACGGAAAATTTTCTGTTCCCCTTCAGCCTTGATAGATAGTTTTGCTGGGTAAAGTATTTGGGGTTGGCCTCATGCTTATTTAGGACTGGGAATACCTTTTCCATGCTCTTCTGGCTTTCATATTTTGCATTGAAAAGTCAGATGTAATTTGATGTGTTTTTCTTTATATGTGTATTAGTTACTTTTCTGTTGCTGTGATAGAAACACTGACCAAAGCAACTTATAGAAGGAAGAGTTTGTTTGAGCTTATAGTTCCAAAGGGGCAAGAGTTCATCATGGCGGGGAGGCATGGTGGCAGGAGGTGGCTGGAGAAAGAGCAGAAGCTAAGTTCTATATCTTCAAGCAGACACAGGAAGCAAGAGACTGACTTGAGATTCAGCAAGGCTTAAGAACTCTCTAAGCCTGCCCCAGTGACATGCTTCCTCCAGCATAGCCACACCTTCTAGACTTCCCAAAACAGTGCCACCAACTGGGGATGAAATGTCCAAATATTTGGAGCCTATGAGGGACATTCTCATTCAAGCTACTACAATATGTAACTTGTTCTTTTTCTCTAGCAACTTTCAGTACCCTCTCTTTGTTCTGTACATTTAATGTTTTTACTATGATATGTCATGGGCACTTTCTGTTCTGATCATGTCTTAATGGTGTTCTCTGTGCTTCTTGAATCTCTATAGGTATATCTTTCCTTAATTTAGGGAAGTTTGCTTCTATAATCCTATTGAAGATCTGTTCAATGCCTTTGGTTTGAGTTTCTTCTCCTTCCTGTATGCTTATAATATATAGATTTGGTCATTTTATATTGTCCCACATTTCTTGAGCATTCCATTCCTGTGTTTTTTATAAATTTTGTATAGTCTTTGCTTAAAGAGTCCAGATCTTCAACTTTATCCTTCAGTCTTGATATTCTGTTTTCCATTTCATTCATTCTGCTTGTGAGACTTTGTCCTGTTGTTTTTAATTGGCTTATTGAGTTTTTCAGTCCTGTGTTCATTTCCATAGGGGTTTTCTTCACTATTTCTATCTCTTTAGTGAATTCACTTTTCAAGTTATAAATTTTTTTTTTGATATTTCATTAAGCCGCTCATTGTATATTCTTGGGATTCTGTGAAAAGTTTATGCCTTTCTTCTTTGAGTTGTTTGTCTGTGTTTTCTTGAAGTTCTTTGATCATGTTTTTGATTGTTCTTTTAAATTCTTCATCCTGAGATTCTACAGGGTGGTTCTCAATGCTGTGTACTTCTGTAGGACTCGTGGGTTTTGTTGGGGCCATATTTTTCTGGTTTTTCATATTGTTTGTGTTTTTGCATTGCTGTTTGGGCATATGGATGCTCTTTGTTGGTTATGAGTTCAACAGGAACATCTACTTTGTTTTTGTTTAATTTAATTTTGTTTCTGTTAATAGTTTATGTAGCTTAGTTACTTTTTATTTAGGTATGGAAGATAAATTGCTGGATATTTCAAGTTCTTGCTGGGTATTAGACTGGTCAGAGTCCTGACTGAACCTAGCATCTGCCTGATCGGGATGCTGGGAAGTTGGCGGTGAGGGGACCACCTGGGTGAGGACTTACTTATCTATGGTAGGGTGTTTAGCTAATCTGGTTTGGGAACTTAGTCCTGGGACTTGAGGTGAAGGAATTGGAGCCTGCCTGTAAGAGTGGCTGGCAGGGGACAGGGTTGGGCGGATGACAGAAAATCAATTTCTGATTCTTGTGTGAGACTCAAGCCTTCCTTTTTTGAGTTTAGGTCTGTTTCTGTTTGTATACTTTATGTGCCTTTATTGTTTACTTATTGGGTATGAAAAGCTGGTTGGTCTCTGCTTCAGGTTCTCTTTTTTGATTTTATATTGGAGGGGACTGATGGCTTTAGTCCAGCTGTTTATGAGTTCCCACAGAGGCCCAAGTTGGATGTTAATCAGATGTTCTCAGGCTTCCTCCTAAGGCCTGGGTCCCTCTAGTCAGCAGGCACAGTGCAATTTGGGAGGATTGCTAGACAGAGGTAGGATTCAGGATTCTCAGGCAGTCAGGGAAGGAGGCTAGTCTCAGGAATCCAGGGCAAGCAGGGAAGGAGGCTGGTCTCAGGAATCCAGGTTGGGGGTGGGAGAGGCAGGGATGAAGGCTGGTTTCAGGTATGTAAAGGCAAGTTGGGGGTGGGGGCAGACTGTGAGGTCTCTAGGGAAGTAAACTGAAGAATTGGGTTGGTCTGGGTGCAAAGGTTAAGGAAGCAGTGAGGGTGATCTGGGCCAAGAGGTTAGTCCAGAGGTGTGGGGTAGCAAGAGAAGAAGTGGGCCTGTGCCCAGGCTAGAAGGAGAACGGGATATGGGAGCTGGGAGATTGAATCAGGTTCTGAATGATTTTTTTAATGGACATAATTTAGGTGGGGGAGGAAAGTCAGGACAACAAAATGAGAAGCCGAGGAAAGACAAAAATATTTCCACAATTGCTTATAAACCATTTAGAAAAAGTAGGCATTAATAAGTGCTCAAACAACTACAATTCTCTACATTTCAGAATGATTTTTAATATACATGTTTATACTGAGATAGGCATAGAATTCTTCTGGAAAGATAGCAAGTTAAGAGTAGTTACCTGGGGGCAAGAACTTGAATTGGATTCAGCAGCTGGGAAATATTTTAATTTTTGCCATGGATCTATATTACCTATTAAAATTTCATGATTCATTTTCAATTTAATGCTAGTAGTCTAAAAATCTCTACTGTTGGGCTAGAGAAATGACTCAGTGGTTAAGCTCACTGACTGCTCATGGAGAGGACCAGGGTTCTATTCCCAGCACCCAAATGGCAGCTAACACCTATCTGTAACTCCACTACCAGGGGAATCAGTGCTCTTTTCTGACATCCATGGGCATTGCATGACACGGGTGTACTTGCAAACACGCAGGCACTACACTCATATGCATAAAATAAAAATAATTTTTTAAAAAATCTCTACTGTTTCGCTGAGTCTGGACCCACCTGGGAAGTTGGGAACATCAGGCTTTGACAGGCTGAGCCCTGATAGAGCCCTCTACTGGCTGGTACCCACAACTACAGCTGCCAGATGGCCACAGAAGGCCTGTGAGGCCTGCTCAATTCATCAATACTCCCTAGGTTAATACTGTTACTAGTCCACACATTAACTGTGACCTACTTTTTTCTCAGTACATTAGTGATTGAAGATCTGGACACCATGTGTGGGGTTGGGGAATGGGGCAGTAAAATACTGGTACTTAATAATTATATATCCTACATTATTTTTTTTCCCATTTTAAGCTTTGACATACTGATTAGAAACAATCGGGTCTTTTAAAAATATCTCAGTTGTGAGCCAATCACACATGATTTTAGCAATTAAACTTCTATCAATTCATTATTTGCTACTGTAATTCTTTCCTCTGCATATGTGAAATAGAGGCTTTTGTTCCACATAAAGAATTTGGATAAAAGGTTCTGCACTCTCAGACTTTATGTTGTCATGTAAGTAATTTACTGGTGTGTTATGCAGTTTTTTTAAAGTAATATTTTATTATTTAAAAGTCATTATGTTATCACTGTAAAAAATACTTAGGGAACTACCATAAAACTGGAAGAACAAAATAAAAATGATTACCATTGTACCAACAGGACATAGCTACATTACATTATATTTGCATATGCTTCAGGTTCTTCTAAGGCCTAGGTGTTTGTATAACTTGTTTTTCATGTGGAATTTTGATGTTTTCAAGGCACATTTCCACTTTCCCATATGTATGTTAGAAGCCTGTGTTTGTTAGGTTGCAAATGTTCCTATTAGAAACCACTGTTAATAGAAACTGCAAGCCATGTTTGGATATAAGTTCACTTTGAGCAAACCCACTATTTGAGGGTTGGTATTGAACGCTTCTGCAAATGCGGTGCTTGTATGCCTAACGTCGGAGAGGTGCCATGCCGGTCACACTTCGGCTGAATTTCTTGCAGGGCATCGCATCCTCATGCAACAATCTTGAATCCTGGCCTTTGTCAATATTTGGGCACTGACTGGAATTCTTACGGGCAGGGTCTGACAGTTTAAGTGGGTCATGGATACCTGACCCCAGCTCAAGGTCGGGGACTGGCCAAACGGGGCAGTGTGCAGAAGAGTGAGCAACCTAAGTTTTGTGGGGTTTTTTTGTTTCCTTATCTTGCTTCTCGGTATTTCCACCCATCTGAGAGACCAATCTCAACATCTCCTGGTCCAGGCAGTTTCCCAGCTAGTCCCTGGCCAGAATCAAAGGCTGGTAGGCGTGTTCCTTGCCTGAGGCTGGAGTTGGACCAAGCCAAGGATCGAGAAACCCACCCCACGCGGAGCAGCTGTATAAAGAGGCTGGCTGCCGCCCCGAAGTACCGGCTTTGCTGGAGAAAGCTCGCCTCCGGTCGACAACTGTGCTGAGCACCGGTCCAGCACCACGAAGATGGCACCGGTTGCTGGCAAAAAGGCCAAGAAGGTGAGTCTGCAGGAAGCCCGAGAGCGTTCTCTGACCTACTGGTCGGCCAGTACCCAACCTGGGCGAGCTCAGAGGGGCGGGCAGAGCCTGGCTGTGTCCAGCATCCTCCTAGCTGCCGGCCTTGGGTCAGAAGGTACACCCAGAACCCCTGCGTGACCCCAGGGCCACCACTTGTCCTGCACGCCCAGAGCTCATCCTGGACTCCTTCTGCCTCTCCTCCGCCCCCAGCTCGGCTTTGAACCACCCGGCGCCCTGGATCTGTGGGATCCGGCATAAGGGTGCCCCAGAGCTCGGAGACTCCCCACACTTCTTAAATCCAACACCCCGAGACCAGAGAACTCCCCCGAGACGCGGCTCCTACACCCAGGGGCGCGATTTCCCACCCAGTGGAGACGGCGCAGGCTGGCCGCCCATGGTGCGGGTGCCGGGTATGCGGTGCCGGGTGTCAGGTTAAGATGTCCACGCGGGGCTCCGGCCGCGGGGGAGGCTTGTAGAGCTCATCCCCCACCCCCCACCCCCGCCAGCGCCTGGACGGAGCCGGGTCCCTCACCAGACAACCTGCCTGCTGCCACTGCAGCGACAGGACGGTGGGGGAGTGATGGTCGGTTACAACCGCAGTTTGTTTCAACGACCACAGAAATATTTATCACTGGAGCATCAAAACACAGTTTGTGAAAATAATGAGCAGAGTGATTGTAAGATAATGAGAAAAGGCTGTTCATAGGACGCAAAAACTCAAAATGCCAGCGGGTCTCGATGCTGGTTATCAAGAAGCACATCTCTCCAGTTCTGATTGAGCTCAGTCCAAACCCCAGACCATCATCTGGGGTGGGGAACGGGTAGACAGAGAAATGGGAAGAGAGGAGGAAATATTCTTGGCTCTGATAACAAGCTCAGTCAGAGGTCGGGCTACAGAAGACCCCAGGGGAAGATGGTAGGGAGACAGGCACCACCCTCCCAAGGCAGGGCCAGCCCTGCTAGGAGACCCTGGGTGTACCCAGTTTCTAAAGGGACGACCACCAAATCAAAAAGACCTCCACCCAAGAAAGAAGGCTAGTCCTGTTAAATACTTGAAACTCCACCGCTTCACTAGTGGATGCATGTGGGCTAGGTATGATTCAGGTATGCAGAGGATGGGTGATTAAGGCTTGTCCATGTTGAGAATGGCTGCCAATCCACAGACCTATTAAATGAATGTCCCTTGCAGACTGGAAAGAATGGGTCCTATGAAAACATAATTAATTCCCCCACCCTTGATTTGGCCCATTTGTAAAGGAATGGATTCTAACCCACTTGACAAACTTTAACTCAGAAACTTCAACATTTTAAAGGGCTATCTCTAACAGGACATGGTGGCACATGGTGGAAAGTCCAGCACTTAGGAGATAGAGGCAAGAAGATTATAGTTCAAGACCAGCCTGGGCTACACCATAACATAATCTTAGAAAATACAAAAACAGAGAGAGAGAGAGAGAGAGAGAGAGAGAGAGAGAGAGAGAATATGAATGAGAATATTATCTAAGAAACAGGTGGCATGGGGTGGGAAGAGATGCCTCCTCAGTAACCTTATTTCCATAGCAATAATATGCCCACATATTTGCTTTTAGAAGATGTTCAGAAGACAAATATTTATTGTAGCCAGCTGGTCAAAACACAAGGAACAGGGCCTACAATATTTTGGTATATAATCTACTAGTTGCTGTCTAGGCAGATATGCACTTTTTAAAAATGGGCTGATATTACATACACTCTTTTGTAACACTTCTTAACAAATATCTTTTTCATAGTTCATTCCACTTTGAAAACTCTGTTTAGCCAAGAACTAAGAATCCTGTTGTCTTGGAAATCAAAAATTGTAGTGAAAATCTAAGAGCTAGTATATGCAGGCTTTATTGCTCAACAATGTGACCAGCCCAGTCACTGAATCACCCCTATGCACCCAGCCTCCCCCAAACGGACCCTTAGCTATGTCCTGTGTTAAAATGTTGTGGAACTAAAATCTGCAAATGTATGTTCATGAGAGCTGTTAATGGCCAAAATGTCATGAGTTATTTCTCCCAAGTGAAAGTTAGTAACAAGTCATATCTCATTTATGTGACCTTTGCTTCTATTTTTGATATATCACTGAAGATACACACACATACATAAATATATACACATGTATATGTACATATATATATATACTTGTTCATTGAAAATATAGTATTTAGGGCTAGAGAGATAGCTCAGTGGTTAAGAGCACTGGCTGTTCTTATAGAAGACCTGGGTTCAAATCCCAGCACCTACATGGTGGCTAACAACAGTTTGTAACTCCAGTTCCAAGGGATCCATACCCTCTTCTGTTCACCATGACACAGGTGTACATGCAGGCAATACATGCATACACATAAAATTAAAATAATAAAAACAAAATATAGTATTTAGATACATTGTAATCATACTGCATATTTGGTTTCAAAATTACATGTGAGCAATTCTGTATTTTTTAAGATATTTTATTATTTTTTATTTTATGTGTATGACTATATTGCCTGCATGTATGTGAGTGCACCCATGTCTTGCAATGCCAAGGAGGTCAGAAGAGGCTTCAGATTCCCCTGGAACTGGAGTTAAGGATGGTTTATAGCCTCCACGTGGGTGCTGAGACTCGAACTCGGGTCCTCTGCAAGAACAGTCAGTGCTCTTAACCACTGAGCCATCTCTCCAGGCCCAAATTATGTATTTTTATACTAGTTTTTTTAACTCATGGACTTCCAGGCTTGACAGGTTTGGGGGGGTTGTTTGTTTGAGTTGGGGTTTTTTGTTTGTTTGTTTGTATTTTGAGTTTCCATGTAGCACAGCTGGCCTAAAACTGGCTATTGAGACTAGGCTGGTCCCAATCTCACAGAGCTCTTCCTGCCTCTCCCTCTAGAGTGCTGGGATTACAGAAGTGCACTACCATGCCCAATCTTTGACAGATATTTTTGTTCCAAAGGGGTACCCAGGAATAAGTAGTAAGTCCCCATTTAATTTCCAGCTCTAAGGTGAAAATGTCAGCAGTTCCTTTCTGAGCACTTGCTGTCAAGATGGCATTGGGTGGGACAGAGGGTTAGCATAAAGATGACTCTATGACATTGGAAAGGAATTTTGGTGCAGAATCCTACAGTTTCTTATGTTGTTTATGTACCCCTTGCTCTATCCATATTTTAAAAGCCACTGGTATTGCTAGTATATGTGACAAAATAGGTATGTACATTCCAAGTCATTCCTTACAGCTATTCATTTTTTCAGAGCTGCCCCACCCCCTCACCTCTATTTATAATCAAATCTAGTTAGCATTTAAGGATCAGAGAGTCAGAAAGACTCTTTTAGTCTAGAAGATCTTGGATTACTTGGGGACTCTGTGTAACCTGAACGGAAGGTAGGATATATTTGACTTAAAGCCTGATTCTTAGAAATTGCAAAAAACAAAACAACAGTTATACTAAGTTATTTTTGAATCTATAAAATCCCTTTCCAATACTTAATCCAAAATTCATGTCTTGCTCCTTAGCACAAGGGTGATTCTCACGTAGCACTGTGAAGGGAACAAATATGGAGTGGGCCGGAAGTTGTTTCATGAATGCTGCACTTGTCTCTTCCTTGGTTTTGGCATAGAGTGCAGGATGTACATGCTTACAACCTCGAGGGTGCGTGACAGACCTGCTGTTGTGGAAAATGGGCTTAAATGGGAAAGGGAAATTAATAAGTGATTTGGCCATTTCTGTTCTGTCTATACCAAATGTCTTATGACTTTTTAGTCTTCAAAATATGTCACAGCACTCTATACCACCCCCACCTCTTTGACAATGTTAATTATCTCTTTAGTTTATTGATAGAGTAAGAAGAGTAGCTGTTGCCATTTTAAGAACACGTCTTTTACTGCTGAGGATATATCTCAGGGGTGCACTTACCTAGCACAAGGCCCTGGGTTCAATTCCCAGCACTTCTAATAAAGGGGGAAAATTGGGCTTCATTAAAGCTGATAAGTTTACAATATATTATGTATCTTATAAGGAACTAGAAAAGAGGAATTTAAAAGTTCCCAATCAGCCATGTGTGGTGGTACAATCAGGAGGCAGAGGCAGACAGATCTCTATGAGACTGAGGCTAGCCTGTTCTACATAGTGAATTCTAGGCCACCTGGGGCTTCAGGGAAACCCTGTCACAAAAAACTTGGAAAAAAAAAATCCCAATCCAAAGAAATGACAAATGATCAAGGAAATAGAAATCTTAAGTAACCTGGTTTGATCATTACTCACTATATACCAGAACTGAATCATCATATCTCTTTAAATCTGTAAGTATGTAGAATTTTAAAATGTATACAAATGGGGAAAGTATGAACTTTTTAAAAAATCATGGTAGCAGCTGGGTATGGTGGCACACACCTTTAATCCCAGCACTTGGGAGTCAGAGGCAAAAAAAAAAAAAAAAAAATCATGGTAGGGATAGAACCCAGAGCCTCAGGCATGCTAAGCAAGTGCTTTACCACTGACACTGAACTATATATCCTAGCTCAAATTCTTTTTCACATGTACTTAAAGACACCAGTGTATATACATGAAAATACAAATTTTCAATAGCTGAGCTGAGCATCCTGTATAAAACACACATGTTGGAGCTGAAGAGATGGCTCAGCAGTTAAGAGCACTGGCTGCTCTTGCAGAGGAACTAACTGGGTTCAGTTCTCAGCACCCACATGGTGGGTGGCTAAGAACTGTCCATAACTCCAGTTCCAGGGCATCTAACATCCTCTTCTGCTTTTGCAGGCACAGGTGCACTTACATACATGCAAGCATAACACTCATACACATAAAATAAATATTTAAAAAACACGAATTTTTCTGATTATTTATTTATTTATTTATTTATTTATTTATTTATTTATTTTGGTCTTTTTGAGACGGTCTTCCTACAGCCCCAGCTGGCCTGAAACTCACTGAGATCCCCTGCCTCTGCCTCCCAAGTTCTGAGACTGAAGGTATGTGCTACCATGCCCAGTGTTTTCTGAAATTTTTAAAGAAGTCACACTTCTCAAAAATATATTAGTGAGCCGGCCATGGTGGTACCAGCACTCAGGAGGCAGAGGCAGCACTTTAGTCCCAGCACTCAGGAGGCAGATGCAGGCAAATCTCTGTGAGTTCAAGGCCAGCCTGGTCTACATAGCAAGTTCTAGGCCAGCTGGGGCTACAGGGAGACCCTGTCTCAAAAAATACCAAAAAAAAAAGAATATATTAGCAAAAGCACTAAAAATTAAAAAATGCCTTTAAAACTCATTTTTCCCCCTCATCTGTAAATTCAGGGCATCCTAGAACGTTTAAATGCTGGAGAGGTTGTGATTGGAGATGGAGGATTCGTCTTTGCACTAGAGAAGAGGGGCTATGTAAAGGCTGGACCCTGGACCCCAGAAGCGGCTGTGGAACACCCTGAGGCAGGTTGGTACACAGCTCTATCCTAAGTTCTCATAATGTGTGTTGTGCATTATTGTTATGTGTTGTTATTACCAAGCACAGGAGTAAGCATGAGACAGCTACATGCCTGTAATGTTTTCCATATATCTGCCTTTACCTGCTGGGCACTGCTAGGTATATCAGTACAGATTTGCATGCTGGATAGCACAATGGCTCCCTCCTCTGTCTCACTTCTCGGCCCTTGCCTCACATTTTGGGTGAGTCTAAAACTTTGCTCATTGCCTTTCTCTCTGCTCCTCCTCCTTCACCAATCCATGTGACATCAACATACATACAGATGACCCATTCCACATTTTTCTAGGTAGTATCTGGATCTCCTCCCTGGTCCCAGTTAAATTTCCTTCTGCTTTATCTCAGTTACCCACCCTAGACTGTGACACCACCAAGACATGTCCACCTATGAAATGTCCACCTCCTGCCTTTTTGCCCTTTCAGTAGTTCTCTCCCTCCTCCATCTCATCAAGACCCTCCACCCTTTGTCATCACCAGCTTAGATTCTGATCCATTCTCTCCTGTGCCCACCCTTCTTTCTTCACTTCCTTTCAGGTCCATGGTTCCACATCGCTATCTTTTGGATACGCTCTCCTTCCATTACGTATTTGACAACCAGTTCTATTCATGCTACTGAAGCCTGGCGCTATTTGAACCAATTGTTTACTGTTCTACACCCACAACCATGTGTTTTTATTCCCACTTTACAATTTAAATCACAGCTCAATAATGGTCACAAGGGAATAAATGCCATCTTCCAAGGCAGAGGTCTCTGTAGAATCCTCAAGTAAAAGGGAAACATTCATCTTTTTTTTTTTTTTTAAGCATCTCCCTGTAGCCCCAGCTGTCCTAGAACCCACTATGTAAACCAGGCTGGCCTCGAACTCACAGAGATCTGCCTGCCTCTGCCTCCCAAGTGCTGGGACTAAAGGCATGTACCACCACATCTGGTAGAAACATTCATTTTTAAAGGAGAGGAATTAGGAACTAGGGGAGGGAGATGGTTCAGGTGGGAAAGTGCTCGCCAATGAGGACCTGAGTTTGATTCCCCATAACCCATGTAAAAAAAAAAAGTCTTGTAATACCATCTCTAGGTAGATGGAGGCAGAAGGATCCCTGGGGCTCGTCTGGCCAGTCTGGCCAAAACAGTGAGCTCCCGGTTCAGTGAGAGATCTTGTATCAAAATATAAAGTGGAGAGTAACTGAAGGACACTCTTGATGTTGACCTCTAGCACACATACACAAGCTCAAATGTGCATACAACCATGTACACACACACACACACACACACACACACACACACACACACACAGAGTGGGGAGGAATGGACCGCTTCTGCATATTCAGCACATGCTGGTCTCAGGGTTCATGAGTGAATCTACTCATATGACGTCACTCCTGTCTTGAGGTCCCACTTCTCCCTAATCAGTGTCCAGACATTAGCATAACAGGCTTGCCTGATTGACAATTAGGTCCTTGGGAGCTCTGCTCCTGTATAACTTTGTCCAGGGCCACATTGTCAACTCTTTCTGCTCTCTAGAAACAGTGATAGCTATTCAGGAGACCTCAGACTTCGATACTCTGCCTTAATTTGGCAATAATTTAACCTTAGCCTTTTCTTGTCTTCCTCCAATGCACTGATGGTACCCATCAGTGGCCACCATATTTCACAATCCTCCCTTCCAGGGGCAACCAAAAAGTTCACTACAGGTGAACATTTTAACAGGGGTACCCTGAGAGCCTGCCAGTAGTTACCAGAGATTCTGCTGTGATTCACTGGTGATGGGGGTGAGTGCTAAGCCTTGGGGTAGATGCTCATTCTTAAGGGTAAACATTCATTCCTGGGGTGAGTACTCATCCCTGGGGGGTGGGTGCACATCTCTGGGGGTGAGTGTTCATTCCTGGGGGTGAGAGCTCATTCCTGGGGGTAGGCACTCATTCCTGGGGGTGAGTCTTATTTCTGGGGGTGAGTGCTCATTTCTTGCTGGGGAGGAATGCTCATTACTGACTTGAGGGTGTTCCAAGAAGCAACTGGAAAGTATTATTTTAGAATTGGAGCTCCCTCAGGTCAGCACCCCCAGTACTGATAAGACAAAAAATGACCCACACCCTTTTCTGACCTCCATGAACATTTTATATATGTGGTATATGTCTATATATGCAGGTATGCAAAATAAAAAGAAATAATAAATAAATAAATAAATAAATAAATAAATAAATAAATAAATAAAAGCTTATTCTCTGTCTGGGTCAGCTGTGTCTACATTGCTTTGAGCTGGGTCCAGTGTGTCGAGTATTTGTTCTTCTTTCTCTTCCAAGAGTTGCTGCTTTTTAAGAATGAATGGAAACTCCACAGTGCTGAATCAGTCAATCTAATCCTTTCTGCCACAGACTGAAATCCCATATGGTATTTGGCTCTGGTAGCACCCAGCTCAAGTTCTGTCTGGCTCAGTGGACAGCAGGGTGCATCAGAAAAGACAGATCTGTAACACATCCTTCCTAGGATCGTTTTTATTTTGCCTTTGGGAGGAAGGTAAAAGATATTTAAAACATTGGTGCTGGGGACTGGGCATGTAGCTAAGTAATAGAGCACTTGCTTAGTATTCATGAGGCTCTGAGTTCAATCCTCAGCACTGTGCAAAAATGAAAAGAAAAAATAATCATAAGCTGAATGAAAAGGGTGACCAGTTGCATGTATATTTAATGTAAAATAAACCTTATATCTACAAGTGCTTTTGCAATTTTGGCTGAGTGGCAGCTAGAATTGACAAAGACCTTGAGAAGATTTTCTGCAAGCCGGACTTCATCTGAACATTTCAAATGATTGGTGCCAAGACCTGAATTTTTAGTGCTGGAGGCAGTGAGGAAGGAAAGGATATAGTACAGGTTCACAATCCCTACACCAACCATTTTGGAATCAAACGTGTCTTGGATTCTAGAAACCTGGGAAAAAAAGAAAGTTGCTACTACAGTACATATGCTATATATTATGTAATACTGAGTGGACCCTAAAACAGTCCCCTTAGTCAAACACAGTGATACTTTTTGTTTCCAGTTCTGAGGACTAAACTCAGGGTCTCACACATGCTAAGCTCACGCTTTACCACTGAACTACATCTCCAGCCCAAGATCAGAAATTATTTATTTATTTGCTTTTGAGAAGGGTCTCACTAAGTTGCTTAGACCGGCCTCAAACTCATGATCCTCCTGCTTCAGCCTCCAGTGCTGGGATTACAGGGTCTATTATACTCAACCCTCATTAATACATTTTTGGCATCAATGTATATAACCACTGACACTTATTGGATTGCAATTATAAATATTTTCATATTAATTCAGGTCACATTTTACTCCCAAATGATTTTGCTGCCAACTTAATATTCCACTGATGAAATCCTGGAGAATTTTCTTTGACTTTGTAAAATATGCTTTGAAATTTCAAAACTTTGGAATTCTTAAGCTAAATTTGCAAGGTTAATGTCTAATGATGATGTTCTTTGGGTGCATAACCATGTAATACTGTGCATTTGCGTTTCATGATGCCAAAATCTGTATAATGAGTTCAAGGCTGCAAGGGAAGGTAATTAGTATAATCGGTATCTTTGTGTCATAGGGACCAGTCACATCCTAGTATTTAGTAGAAAACAAATCTAAGAACCTTATGACAAGGGAGAACAGGAAATGGAAGGTGAAAGGATATTTGGAAACTATCGGCACAATGGTAAGGCTAATGCTGATAACTAGAGCTGTGGATCTTGCACAGAGGAAGCAGTGTTAGGTCCAGCAATGAATTCAGGTTCCCTGAGTAGAGTAGCAATGAATTCAGGTTCTCTGAGTCGAGAACAGTTTAGGGCATCAAGCCTCCAGGCAGATCATTCTCAAAGAAGCATGTAGGGATGGATTAGTTCAGAATGAGGAAATGTCTTTAGCTGTTTGGGACCATCACCTTCTAGAAAAATCTGATTAAAGTATAGGCTTTCTGCATTATAAATGTACATGTGTAAAAACCCACCACACATTTTTCCAGGACGTTTTCACAGCTTTCTGGAAGTCTACTCAAGGACGACTTACATGAACTTTCTGGCTATAAACCATGTCATCCTAGTGTCTGGGATCTTAGTCTATAACCCTAGCTCCCTATAAGATCCCTCTCCAACCACAACAGCTCTGTGTTTGCTCGATAGGGACTCCCTGTACAATTTTTTTTTAAATTTTATCCCACTGCTAATTACAGTGAGCTTAAAAGCTTAAGTATGCTTTTACGTTCCATTCCCGCCAAGAGCTAAAGTTTCCCTAATTAAAAAAAAAAAAAAAAGAAGAAAAGAAACAAACAAATCATAAGAAAGATTTGGCTTCAAACTTAGAAAGCTATTTTTTGAAATACAGAAACTTTTTTCTCACTTATCCATTGAAAAACAAAAGCACAGTTTTCTGTGTTCCAGGAAGTCCACTAAGCATACAGGACAGGCTCATTTCCCGTCTTAGCCCTTATCTCCAGTGTCCCAGTTAATTTCTTGGCCTCTAACATAGTTGCCCCTCGTCTGAATTTCATAGGTCTCTGAAATTTCAAAATACATTTTAGGGATTGACAAGATTACTGGTTCTTCCTTTGCCTGGCTAATTCTCCTGACAGAAACAAACACTAACTTTCTCATTTTATGAGTGTTTTCAATCTGCTTTAGCATGCTGGTTCTCAGCAAGGCTGAAACAAAAATCAATTGGAGAACTTTCAAACAAGAAAAACAAACAAACAAAGAAGCAATGCCTGAATCCCACAGCAAATGAGTTAGAATATCTGTGGGTTTAAGTCCAATACTTTAGAGCAGAGTATATCTCTTTACATTGAATATAGATAACTATATGGGAAATAATTTCCACTATATTTCTTCAGCTGATGGACGTGTTGCCACTGGGCATTTGTCCAAGAGCCTATGCTTGGAAACAGTGCTCCAATTCTTGTTTTATTCAGCATCCAGAATTACTTTTCAATGTAGTTTGGAGACTGTATCTAATACTGTAATCCTAGCACTTAGGAAATAGAGGCAGGAGGCTCAAGAGTTTGAGGCCATCCTTGGCTACATAAGAAGTCTGAGACCTGCTTAGACTATGTAAGACCTTTTCTCAAAATCAACCAAAAAGCCAGAATTATCTTTCAAAACCACTGGGCCGATCTCATCTGTCACTTGATATCTAAGCACAGTCTTTGGGGTGAGAGGCTATGCCATTGGTGCTCTGTCCTCGGCCCCACCTTTTCAACTACATCTCCTGCCACTTCGCCAACATCCCTTCATGTCTGGTTCAGACTCTCTGTCAGTTTCAATGCCAAATCTGCTCCTACTTTGTCTTTGCTCAGGATGCTTCCATTATGGGGACTGTCCTTCCCCACCTCTGCCTGGCAAGAACTTCACATTCTTCAATGTGCAGCCCAATAACCACCTCCCGCTCCCCCCGGTGGAAATCATCTTTCCCCTGAATAGCACATTGCACAGATTGTCAGTGAGCGAAGAACAAACTGACAATCAGCAAAACAAACAATGAACACCTGAGCAAACACAGGATTGTGAGCCCCTCCGACCACCCGTCCATCTAGCCATGATGGGTTTGAGGAAGGTTCCAGGAGACCTGTATTTCTTCCTTTAACCTCAGATATGCAAATACCAAGCAGCTAAACTGGTCATTTTGATGCCTCTTTACCTGAAAACCTTTTGAAAGCATTGCAAGTTCAGGACTGGAGAGATGGCTCGGTGGTTAAGAGCACTGGCTGCTCTTGCAGAGGACTCAGGTTCAATTCCCAGCACCTACATAGTGGCTAACAGCTGTCTGTAACTCCAGTTCCAGGGGATCTGACACCCTCTTCTGACCTCCTCGGGCATTGCACAACACAGGTGCACCCAACAACGTGCAGGCATTACACTCATACGTATAAAATAAAAATAATAAATTGCTTTTTTAAAAAAGAAAGCATTGCAAGTTAGTAAAGGGAGAGAAATCACATTTTTGCTCATGCAATCTCCCAGTTCGCCAGCTTCATCGAGAGTTTCTCAGAGCCGGATCGAACGTCATGCAGACCTTCACCTTCTATGCCAGTGAAGACAAGCTAGAGAACAGGGGAAACTATGTGGCAGAGAAGATATCTGTGAGTACCACCCACCATGACCACCACCTCTAAAGGACATCGCAGACAATCCATGTCCCATGTTCTCACAGGAAAGCTGGAGCCTTTACGGAGTTTTGTTTCTATTAGAGAAATGAGAGATGGGTGACACATTCCCAGGTTTGAGCTGTGCACTAAGATTGACAGAAAGATATTTATGAAGCAAGTTAAAGAGGAACTCAATGATCCTAGTCACTTAATTTGCTCAGCAAAGTGGGCATCTTTACAAATCCATACATCTTGCCACTTTTCCACAGGCATAGTTCAGGGGAAAGATTGTAAGCATGGGAGCCAGCAAGCCTGGAACAGTGCCCAAGATTAGCTGCAGTCAGCTTTGCGTCACTGACATCATTTACTCCATCAAGGCAAAGATATCTTCATATCTAAAATGGTTCAGGAGTTCTAAAATCCCATGAGTCTAAATGACCTATAGTGCTGTGGTGGGGTGAGGTTTTTGTTTGTGATTTGGGAATCTTTGGTGCTGATGTTTGTTTACTTTTTTTGAGGATAAGGTGGGATTTTGTGGTGGTTGTTGTCATTTGTGGTATAAGGTGTAGAACCCAGTGCCTCAAATATGCTAGGCAAGTGCTTTCTACCTATGACCAACACCCCCAGTCCTGGCAGGCTTGCTAGAACTGTGTGTAGTCCCATACACTTGAGAGGCTGAGGTTGGAAGATCACTTAAACCCAGGAATTGAAGGCCAGACTGGGCAACAATTGAGTCCCTATCTCAATGCAAACACAAGCTGGCTGTGGTGGCACGTGCCTGTAATCCCAGCACTTGGGAGATGAAGGCAGGGGGATCAAGAGTTCAAGGACAGCCTCGGATAAGTGAGACTATGTCAAAAAACCAACTGAAACAAACAAAAGTGCCATCCTCCAGGTCAGCTCAATTTTTGATGTCTAAATGACTATAAAAAGCTTTACTATGTGTATATTAATCACATGAAAAATACAACATAAATTCTGTCATAATCTTAATTCAATTTTTAATCTTAGTCATAAAACCCCATGACCATTGTCACTACCACCACTATTTGCTAAGTACTGATCTAAGTGTGTAGTTTAGGTATTAGAAGATTCCAGATTAGACCTTTTCTTATAAAAACTGTATATCCTCTCAGCATAGTTGATATAGTACTATGTCCTAGACACCACCGTTAGAGTCACTGTTATTTCCATTATTGTCAGCTTTTTGTTCAAACTGCTAGACTCGATCAACCATTGAGCTACATAACTGCTGTTTACTGGGATAAAACATGATTATAAACATAAACATAATTAACTATTTTTGGTTTCACATGCAAATTTTGGTGTGTCCTCTCTTTACGCACTCAAGGGGCAGAAAGTCAACGAAGCTGCTTGTGACATTGCACGGCAAGTGGCCGACGAGGGAGATGCTTTGGTAGCAGGAGGCGTGAGTCAGACACCTTCGTACCTCAGCTGCAAGAGTGAAACCGAGGTTAAAAAAATATTCCACCAACAATTAGAGGTCTTCATAAAGAAGAATGTGGACTTCCTCATTGCAGAGGTAAGGAAAGACCATCCAAGAAAAGACAAGAACACTTTCTGTACTCTAACTTTTTGCTTTCATAAGGTCCACATGGGGTTGGGCTCAGATTTTGACAAGGAGCAATAATATTTAGCTTTTGAACTCTTTTTCCAATCTCAGAACTCTGCTAATTTTGATTCAGTTTATTGAATGCAGTGTTTTTCAAATCTTTTTGTCTGCAATTTGCACTAAGAAATTGTCACTCCATTTTCTATTTTGTATCAAAAATGCTTAATAACTGAATTATCACTAGACAGCTCATCGAGTGATAACAGCAGTGTTCTTACTGTCTTGTGGGAAACATGATGAAAAGTTTTATAAACTTCGTTGATTTCAGTATTTTGAACATGTTGAAGAAGCTGTGTGGGCAGTGGAAGCCTTGAAAGCATCTGGTAAACCTGTGGCGGCTACTATGTGCATTGGGCCCGAAGGAGATCTGCATGGCATTCCCCCTGGCGAGTGTGCAGTGCGCCTGGTGAAAGCAGGTGATGATAAGATTTCTATCAGCTTGACATTAGGCTTAAAAATAACACTAAAAAATGCACACTCTTCCAGGAATAGGTTTACACCAAGGTATATTTCCTTATATGTGGTAACAGGAAAGCCGTAAGTCTACTTTGGGTATCTGTGTGCATACATGTTCATGTGTATATGAATGTGTGTGTGCAGGTGCATGTGCATGTGTGTGCACATTTGGAGACCAGAGGTCAACATCGGTGTCTTCCTCTGTCGCTCTGTACCTTATTTTTTGAAACAGGGTCTCTCATTGAACCTGGAGCTCACTGATTAACTGAATAGCTGGATTCCACTGAGGCCCCGGAATCCACCTGTCTCTCGTTCTGGTCCTTTAGCACTGGGGTTACAGGTGTGTGCCACCAGGCCCAGCTTTTTACATGGGTGCTGGGAATTCCGACTTTGACAGCCCTTGGGCAGCAAGCACTGTAACCCCAGCTGGCCTGGAACTTGCTATGTAGACCAGGCTGACCTTGAATTCACAGAGATCCACGTGCCTCTGCCTCCCAAGTGCTGGGATTAAAGGCTTGCGCCACTGCAACCTGACATATAATACTAATTTTTAAAAATATTTTATTGAATTTTTGTGGATTTCATCTTTTAAATTTTTTATTATTTTTATTTTATGTATATGAGTGTATTGCCTGCATGTATGTAAGTGCACCTGTATTTTGCAATGCCCTCAGAGGTCAGAAAAGGGTGTCAGGTCCCTTGGACCATTATTAACCACCATGTGGGTGCTGGGAACTGAACCTAGGTCTTCTGCAAGAGCAGCCAGTGCTCTTAACCATGAGCCATCTCACCAACCCCTTCATATAATACATCTTAATTATATTTATCCCTCCTTTCCATCTCACCAACCCCTTCATATAATACATCTTAATTATATTTATCCCTCCTTTCCTATCTGTACCCCCCATAGCCTGCCCACAGGACTTCGTGGATTTTGTCGTATATGTTAAGGCCTATCAATAATCCTAATTTTTGACAGAAAATATAAAATGGGGAGGGAGTAAGTTAACTGTCTTTAAAACAACCAGAGGGACTGCTGACATGGTGGTGCATGCCTTTAATCCCAGCACTCAGCAGGTCGATCTCTGTAAATTGGAGGCCAGCCTGATCTACCTAGTGAGTGAGTTCCAGCCCACCTGGGGCTACAGAGAGACCCTGTCTCAAAAAGACCAAAACAAAACAGCCAACAACAAGAAAACACAAGAGGGGCCTCCTTCATTCCCATTGGTAACTGACAGGGGTGCCGGGCCTGCAGCTAGTCTGCTTCATCATCCTGCTCAACTTTCATAGCTTGTCTGATGCCCTCACTAGATTAGCATCCACTAAGGCAGAGACTATGTTTGGCTTGACCCTGAGTACTCTGTGGTTACCACAGTGCTTAGCACATAATAGATTCTTAATAAACACCTGTCTAATAAGTCCATCTTCCAATGTTTAGTTCAAAATTTCCCTCTGTGTATCCTGACATGGTCATCCCTGCCCTTAGCAATCATATCACTTTCTAGTTAGGCCACTCATTTGGCACATCTTCAGTTGACATTTCCCCATCTGTGATGATACTGATAGGCTTCTATGATCAGATGTATTTAGAAGATGCTATGCTGAACTAAGTTGTGTGTGTATCTCAACAGAACCATTGATACATTTATGAATTTTATGTCTTTAAGAAGGGGATATAGTGAATAGCACTATCTAGCTTAATTCATCATAAAACCTTATTTTCATGGGCCAAATTTTGGGATGTTCTAGAAGAAATTATAGAGTCCATGATGTCAGGGATTGTGTCCTATACATATATTTTCCTATAACCTCTGACAAGGAGACTTACACCTAACAAGACATCCAATAAATAGCCAATATATGATTAATTCATCTATGTAATAAAAGTAGGGAAAGAAAGAGAAGCTATGACAGCTCAATATCCAAAAATGAAATGAAAAGCTCAAGATCCAGTGCTAGGGAGGCTGGGGCAGGAGGATTGCTTAGAGGCCAGCCTGAGCTACAGAGTGAGACTGTGTTTCAAATACAAAACAAAAACAACAAAAATTCCAAGTGAAGCTGTTAAGTAAACTGCTGAATGTACATTTTTAGAACCCAACAAAAAGGTCAGGATTAGAGGAAAAAAATCTAGTGTAGTTCTGGACATAAATGGTGTTGAAAGCCATAGACTGAAAAGGGGGTGTAAGTAGATATCCGGAGGTTACTCCATGGGACTCTGGGACCTGCTGGGATTGAGAAGGCAGGACCAAATCCTCGGAAGAGTAGCCAGGGAAGAAAGAGCACCACCCAGAGTGGGGCGGGGAGGCGGGTCTCAGGAGCCAGGAGGAAGGTTCTTGGTAAAGGCAGAATGCTGATGAGACCTCACTGCTGGAGTTGGCAAGACTGGGATTGTTAGTAACCTTGAGCAAAGCTATTGCCGAGGAGTGACAGGCAGTGAAGACTGACCAGAATAAGGATGAGGAGCAAGCTGCAGGCCCAGCCTGGTAAGGATTACACACTTACCTGTTGCTGAACACTAAAGCCAATGGTGTGACTTCAACTCTGCTGTCCCCGAGTCCTATATGTTGGTATATCCCTCACTGAATCCAGAAGGAATCTCTCCTGCCCTTAGCTTTGATATCTTTATATTTAGATCCAAAAAGCATAGGTCATGAGTCCATCTTTAAAAAGGCCTTTTTAGGGGCTAGAGAGATGGCTAGCATTTAATAGCACTGTCTGCTCTTGCAGATGACCTGGGTTCAATTCCCAGCACCCACATGGCAGCTAGCAATCATCCATAACTCCAGTTCCAGGGAATCTGATGCCCTCTTCTGACCACCTCAGGCACTGCATGACATGGGTACACTTACATGCATGCAGGCAATACATTCATTCATACACATAAAATTAAAAAATAATAATAAATAAAATATGTTTAAAGCCCTTTTTAGAGGTAGAAACAGCCCAGGAGTCCTTCAACACATAAATGAATAAATAAAACATGGTATACCCACAGAATGGAACATTATTCAGCCATAAAAAGGAATGCAGCTCTGATGTGTGTTACAGCAGGGATGAGCCTGCAAAGTATCAGGCTAAGTGAAATAATCTAGTCACAAAAGACAGATGTTATATATGATTTCACTTACATAAAATAGGTAGAATGGGCAATCTCACAGAGCTATAAAGCAGACTAATGGCTACCAAGGGTTAAGGGGGGGAAAGTCAGGAAATTGGAAATGGTTGTTTTAATGGGTATAGGTTTCTCTTTGGGATAATGAACAACCTTGTAAATAGTGATAATCATGGCACAACACTCTGAATGTAATTAATGCTACTGAGATGTATACGTAAAGTGATTAAAAGGGTCACTTTATCATTTATTTTACCAATTACATGTTTTACTGAAAGTGTGTGTGTGTGTGTGTATGTGTGTGTGTGTGTGTGTGTGTGGTGTATGCTCACATATGTATGCATGCGTGCCCATGTGCGTGCATGCAGACACCTGAGGAAGATATCAGGAGTCTTCCTCCATCACTTGCCATCTTTTTGTTGTTGTTCTTTTTGAGACAGGGTCTCCCTGTAGCCCTAGCTGGCCTGGATTCGCTATGGAGACCAAGCTGGCCTCAAACTCACAGAGATCTGCCTGCCTCTGCCTTCTGAGTGCTGGGATTAAAGGCATGCCCCCCCACGCCTGGCCATCATTTTTTTTTTTTTTTCTTTTTGAGACAGGGTCTCTCTCACTGAACTTGAAGCTCTCCTGTTAGACCAAACTTACTGGCCAGCAAACTCCAACCCTTAACCAAAAATTTTAAAACTCAGAAGAAAGCAAAACTATTTGAGAATTCTTCTCATTTTGAGAGGCTACAGTAATATATTGTTTCTTCAAATACTTTGGAGGAGGAAATTTCCAAGATCGTATCTAACAATTGCCATAATTAATCATCCTTGGTCCAGATACAATTAAGAATATAATGATTAGCTGGGGGTGGTGGTGCTTGCCTTTAATCCCTGCACTCAGGAAGTCCAGGCAGACCTATGAGCTGGAGGCTAGCCTAGTCTACATATTGAGTTCCAGGCTAGCACAGGCTATATGGTGAGATCCTGTTTTAAAAAAAAAGTTTTCCAATAAAATGAAGAATCTGAAGCATTCTGTTCTCATTAAATCTAACTCCATAGCAACGGATTTGAAGAAAGCTTTAAGAAGGCAGCCCTGTGTAGCTATGGGTCGGGGAGGCAGACAAATGAAAACGCCTGTCCACATGATTGATAGGCTGTTTACTAGATTAGTTACCTCAAAAGATTTTTTTTTTGAGATTTTTTTTCCAATCCACTAATCCCAGCCACAAAATTCTTTCCTGAAAAAAGATCTCTGAAAAACTTTTTCCTAATTTACTTTCTGCTATTGTGCTCAAGAAGCCTTAGTGAAATTATTAAATAGGCCTGGTGAGAGGGAACATTTATTTCAGCTCAAATGAACAGCACGATGGTAAACACAGGTGCAATCTAGCAGCTGAGTGTATTGAAAAATTATGTGCTTGCAACATAATGTCAAACACTGAAAAACTGACGGCTAAAATTTGAAGTAAAAAAAAAAAAAAACCTCTAATAATGATTTAAGAAAAAAAAGATGGACGGCCCAATGTGCGTAAATGACACTTCAATTATTCCAGACTCTTCCAAGCACTTTTCTCAGCAAACACTTTCCGCCTGCTAGTGATTGCTCTTGCTCACAGGTGAGATAGGTTTGTGGGGCATGAGAACCAAACGCTGTCCTTAATTCATCACTGAGTACTTGCTTCCTACTAGAGAGTATCGTGGAGCCTACTGGAATCCTGTGCCTTCCTCAAGCTAACATGTCCCCCTCCCCGATTTGCAGGAGCCTCCATCGTCGGTGTGAACTGTCACTTTGACCCCACCACCAGCTTACAGACTGTGAAGCTCATGAAGAAAGGTTTGGAGGCCGCAGGGTTGAAAGCTCACCTGATGAGCCAACCCTTGGCCTACCACACTCCTGACTGCAGCAAACAGGGATTTATAGATCTCCCGGAATTCCCCTTTGGTAAGACCAATCCTTTTATAAATTGTCTCAATATTTTTGCTTGAGAAATTCTGAGAGTTTTGTCATAGTAGGGAAATGGCCGCATGTGTCACCTCTTGCCCCTAGTTTCTATCCCTGCAGCCCCAACTCCCTTCATATTATTCAGTGGGTGGACAAGATGGGACCAGCTAGAGGAAACACCAATAACTATAAACATAGGTGTGGAATCAGAGGTGACAGCCAGCCAGTGCTCTGGAGTAGATGAAAAGGCTATCCTCCAGGTGGGAGTCTGCTTCTGACTCAACTCTGTTGCTGAGGTGTGTGAGCTTAGGAAAAATTTCTTCATTCCTCCAGATTGTAATGTTTTTAATCACAAAACTAAAATTAGATGACTTATCCCCAAAGCCTTTTCCCCTCTTCTGAATATTGCTCTGACACTTCAGAGCCCTTGGGGTAGGCTATACAGCAAATGCTTAATGAACAAGCCAAGTGGATGAAATTGTGAGGGAATTTTTAGAGTCTGGGCAGAGATGAAGGCTCTCTACATGCATGGAAAATAGGGGAGTGAGTCCACTTTGAGAATCAACCCTAGGGGTCAATAGGGTCCTGGTCTTCAGACTATATCCTATATTCTACGGGGATGCCGAGAGAAGATGTAAGGACTCTGGAGGAACCAGAGGAAGAATGGCAAGCCATTTGTGTTACCTTTGCTGTGTAATGTATATCTACAAAATGCAGTGGCTTAAAAAACATAAGCGTGTATGATCACAGTTTCTGTGATGTTTTTCCCTTGGGATCTCTTAAGAGGCTTCAGTCTAAATGCTGACCAGGGCCACAGGCATCCGAAGGCATGATGGGAGCTGGGGATCAACTTCCAGGCTCAGTTAGGTGACTGCTGGAAGTCATGGTCAGTTCCTCACTGTGCTGACTGGAGGCTTCAGCACCTTGGCTCATGGGCCACTCCACAGTGATGCTTCAGTGTTCTCTCATAGTGCTGGTTTCCCAAAGGGTGAGAACCCCACAGAAGAGCAAGGCAGAAGCCATGATGCTTTAGAGCCCAGCCTCTGAAGTCACCGTCCTTCTGACAAATACAACTGGTCTCACAAACCAACCCTACTATAATGAGTTAAAGGAAGGGGGGCCAGAAGGCTCAATAGCAGAGTCTAGAACTAGATGTAGAAGTAGCTAATGCTTTTCAGATCTAAGAATTGAATATTTACAACTTACTTAACTTGCTGAAATAGTTAATTTGTTGAATATTCACAACCTATATAATTTACTGAAAATTATATACTTATAGGTAACTGTTTATAATTTCTGTTTGTATGAAAGTGTTGTGTGTGCATGGTATGTGTAGTATGTGTGTGCAGATGTGATGCCTGTGGAAGCCAGAGGAGGATGTCAGATGTCCTGCTCTATCACTCCCCATGTTATTCTTTTTTTAAAAAGAAATGTATTTTATTTTTGATTATGTGTATGTGTGTGGGTACGTGCATGAGTAAGTGCAGATGCTGGTAAAGTCCAAAGAGGGTGTCGGATCCCCTGAAACTGGAGTGACAGGCAGTTGTGAGCCACCCAGCATGGGCCCAACTCGGGTCCTCATGCTTGAGCAGCAAATGCCTGTACTCACTGAGCCATCTCTCCAAACCCTTATTTTTATTTTTTTATAAAAAGAATTCAGACATAATATCTTTTATTCCAGGACTGGAACCCAGAGTTGCAACCAGATGGGATATTCAAAAATATGCCAGAGAGGCCTACAACCTGGGAGTCAGGTACATTGGCGGGTGCTGTGGATTTGAGCCCTACCACATCAGGGCGATTGCAGAGGAGCTGGCCCCAGAAAGAGGATTTTTGCCACCTGCTTCAGAGAAACACGGTAGCTGGGGAAGTGGTTTGGACATGCACACCAAACCCTGGATTAGAGCAAGGTCAGTACCGCTCAGCTACACTTGCTTCCTCATGCTTGCTTAGCTTATGAGTGTGTCCAAGTGAGGCCACTAAAGGAGTCCTGACTGGCTTTATGATGATCATGAGCCAATCCTCCTCCTCAGAGTCTCTCACAGAGCAGTTTATAAGCCATCCTTCTGAGATGATTTCTGGAGAAGGCTTTAAGAAGATAGAATGTAAATAATTTAATAGCATGAAAATGTGATTTGGGGGCTCTAGTAAAGTACTATCTATGCACTGAATACTAACATGGAATCCTGTAACTTCTAAAGAGTTGAGTATAACTTGGGGCTGAGGAAGTTCAGTGGTAGGGTGACTCCCTAGTGTGCATCAAGGTTCTGGATTTTAGTTTCAACAACATAAAATAAGAATCAAGAGTTGAATATAGCTTTGTATGAATACTTTATATTAATACTGTTTGCATCATGGGTGGCATGGTAAGTAAAACAGGCAAGGCCTTTGCCTCAGAGCTCACATTCTAGCGGGAGAATAAAGTTTTCATTCAGCACTGTGCTGGGCACTAAGAATATTATAGAAGTGGAAATCTTTGGTCTCTAGCTTAGAGATTCTCACAGGGGAAAATGGTTAAGAAAGCCACTGTACTGGAGCTGCATAGTAAGCACACGCTTTAATGCCAGCACTCAGGAAATAGAGGGAGGAAGAACAGGAGTTCAAGATCAGCCTCAGCTACATAGTAAGCTTGAGTCCAACCTGGGTTACATGGGACACTGTCTCAGGAAAAACAAAAAGAGAGAAACCAACAACAAAAAAATAAAGTCAATGTACTATACTGTGGTAGATTAGTCGAAGCAGAGATCAAAAGGTTAGAAGAGAAGAGGCTGTCTCTGCCTACTAGAAAAATATCTTAGAAGAAGGGCTTTTGAAAGCTGGATTTTAAGTAGGATTCTACCAGGTAGAAAATAAACGGGGTGAAGGCTAGGCACTCTAAGCAGAGGGATCTGTTCCCCTACATTCAGCAAACACTGAACACAACGATCTGTCAGATATAGTTGTAGATGCTGAAGTATCAAGGCACAGCCCTGTCTCCAGAGTTAACAACCTAGCAGACAGGGAAATAAGGAAGTGCAAATAATATAAGTTCAAGAACAAAGATATACATAGCAACCTAGGTTCTGAGCTGATGGTCCACAGAACCAAAGGCAGAAGGGGGCTAAGGAAGCTATGGTTGGAGCTGAATTTTGAAGGATGAATTACCTTACCTGACAAAAAAAGCATCCTGGTGGGAGGCACTGAGAGGTGGAAAGAAAATGGGGTATTAAGAAAGTAGAAGTCTTCTTGAAGTCCCTCAAATTAAGGTAAAGAATAAGAACAAATCATTCTGGAAGAACACAAAGGAAAATAGCTTTAGATACTTAAGTGACAATAGAATTTATTCTCATAATTGTTTTAATAGCTTTTGTATAATCCTCATCGCTATTATGAGATACAAAATGTATTTATCAAATCTGTAATCATTATGCCAAAAAATCTGAATTACTGTAATATTTTGTATATTGTTAAAACTGTAACTTTAATTGTAAAAAAAAATTTTAAAAAAAATAATAATAATTTGCTAAAAAAAAAAAAAAAAAAAAAAAAAGAAAGTAGAAGTCTCAGGGCCGGGTGTGGTGGTGCACGCCTTTAATCCTAGCACTCGGGAGGCAGAAGCAGGCAGATCGCTGTGAGTTCAAGGTCAGCCTGGCCTACATAGTGAGTTCCAGGACAGCTGGGGCTACAGGGAGACCCGGTCTCAAAAAAGACCAAAAAAAATGTAGACGTCTGAAACTAGAGGAGATAGGGTTGCATAGACAGCATACTTCAGAGGTGGGGAGGGGGGCTCCTTTATGGCTCATGCTTTTGCTGATGTATGACCTCATCCCAGAAGCAATGGGAAGGCCAGGAGGGCTACAGGCAGCCCGGGACAAGGTTAGATTTTCAAGTTAGCAAATGTACAACCACATGTAGAAGTCTTCTAGACAGGCTACCAGACATGATGAGGCCAGGAGCAGAAGGAGATGGTGGAAGTAGACAGAAGGATGGAAGCAGAATCCACAGTCACAGGAGCCAGTGCTTCTCCAGACTAACATTTCAATGTGGATGGAGGGAGAGGGAGATAAGAGAGGAAAATAGCGGGTGAATGTGAGCCAAGGATATCACGTACACGTACGGAAATGCCACAATGAAGCACGTTATTTTCTTAATTTTATTTATATTTTACATATATGAGGGTTTTGCCTGCATGTATTTAAAGTGCACCAAGTGCATGCCTAGTGCTCGGAGAGGCCAGAAGAGTCAGGTACCCTAGAACTACAATTATGGGTGTGTTAGCTGCCATGTGAGTACTGGAGACTAAACCCAGGTCCTCTACAAGAGCAGTCAGTGCTTTTAACTGCTGAGCCATCTCTCCAGTTCCCAAAACCCATTATTTTTCATAATTAATATATTCTAATAAAACAATAGCAGTAAAAAAGGTCAACCGAATTAGTTTCAGACTATGAGGCACTAGTTGTGTAAAGAAAGGTTATATGAAGATAGAAAATATTCTGATTCTAAATTTTAAGCTCTTAATTTCTATGCTTGGATTCAAAGAAGACCTACAGAGTAAAGGAATGCAAAGGCCTTAGTCTGGATTAATACACACCTTTGTGGACATACTTGTGAGGACTAACGATGGCCCGACAGTGTATTTTACTAGGATACTAGGGCAGCCTGACGTGTCTTTTGTCTCCATAGAGCCAGGAAGGAATACTGGCAGAATCTTCGGATAGCTTCTGGCAGGCCATACAATCCTTCGATGTCCAAGCCAGATGCCTGGGGAGTGACCAAAGGAACGGCTGAGCTGATGCAGCAAAAGGAAGCCACGACTGAGCAGCAGCTGAGAGAGCTCTTTGAAAAACAAAAATTCAGATCTGCAGAGTAGCCACAGGGCAACTATTTGGGGTGAATTCCTCTCTGTCTGGGCTATAGTATGCACAAAGACAGTAAAGGTGGCTAAGAGCCAATGTGTGTTAACGCCAGCGTACACCTATGATTGGTATTAGGAACTGGCATTATGATTAGTATTTAGCTAAACAAAATATAATCACAAATAGCACTTGACATTTCTGAAAGTATAATTTAGAAGTTTACTTAGAAGTAAAAAAGAAAAGCCTAGTAAATCTAAAACAGGTTTCCTAAGCACCCATCATGTGTAAGGTATTACAGAAATCAATTGTAGCATAGAAAGCACTATTCAGATGTGAGTCCCACTTCAAGAAGTTTGTAGGTTTGGGAAGAGGATAGGACATGAACTGCCATAAATGACACAGCAACCAGACAGGGACTGCATCACAAATGACACAGAAACCCACTCTTTCTAAGGTGTTGCTAGCAGTGGCTCCCAAGTCTTTTGAGCATGACTGCTATTGAGAAATATGTAACATCCCTGTAGAAAATGACACATAACCATGGAGATGAAATGAGGGATCCATTATGGTATTTTCTGTTCTCTTCCATTTCATTAATAAAAACGTGCTGGTTGAACATCTTCAAGTTGAGTTTTGTGGCCCATTAATGATTTCGATCCACAATTTGAAAAACATTGCTGGGGCTGGAGAGATGGCTCAGCGGTTAAGAAAACTCACTGTTCTTGCAGAAGACCCAGGTTCGAATCCCAGCACCCACATGACAGCTAACAACTGTCCATAACTCCAGTTCCAGGGGATCCAACAGTCTCTTCTGTCCTCCTCGGGCATTGCATGACACTGGTGCACTTACCTACATGCAGGCAATTCACACATACACATAAAATAAAAATAATAAATAAAATATTTTTAAAAAGAAAACATTGCTGTGAAATACTTCAGATAAGTGAAGCATCGAAAGTAAATGTATTCTTATTGAAAAGCAGTATTATGTGACTTTATTAAACATCCAGAGTGCAGAGTCTTGTTCTGAGTGCTCCAGATTTATCTCATTCCCTGACTCATTTCTACCACCAAGAAACACCTAGAGCACTGAGAAGGAAAACTTGGAAGGTTTCCCCCTCTATGCTGCTCAAAATGAGACCAATTCAGAAGCCTCAGTCAGCCAAGTTGTGGAACAGTGAGTTTGTATCACTTTGATATTTATATATATATATAATAAAAAATAGAGATTCTACAAACATTAGGCAGGATTCCTAGACTGAAAACTAATATTTATTCCTATGACAGGCCAAGCCTGAAGATGCAAGACTATTAGAATAAATATGGCTATCCTTGATGTATTAGGAAATAGTTCGTAGCCAGATGTGGTGGCACAGACTTGGGTCTCAGTTACTTAGGAGACTGAGGCAGGTGGTCACTTGAGTCTAGGAGTTCAGTGCCAGCCTTGACAACATGCGGAGACTCTGTCTTAGAAAAGAGTATGTACCACTTCCCAAACACTTCTAGATAGCTATTTTGAAACTAACTTTTTTTATTGTCTGAGATCTCATACACGCATAAAAGCATATTTTGATGAAATCCATGCTTCCCCATTCGCACTGCTCCAACTCCCCCCATCACTTTGACCTCCCAAATTAATGTGCTCTTTATTAAAACCCACCAAGTCCACTTAGTGCTGCTAGTATGCACATGGGTGTAGGGCCATCTGTGGGAGCATGGGTAGCCTATCAGGAGCCATAACACTGGAGAAATTGACTCTCCCCAGCAGCTATCAATTGCCCATAGATGCTCAGCTAGGGGTAGAACTTCATGATTCCTTCCCCCATCCATGTTGGGAGTTTTAGCTGGTTTGATCTTGTTCAGATCTTGTGGATGCAGTCACAGCCACTGTGAATTCATTTGTGCAAAGATTCTGCCATGTCTGAAAACAGTTTCCCAGCAGTCATCCATTGCCTCTTGTTCTTAACAATCCTTCTGCCCTCTCTTCTGTGATGATCCCTGAGCCTGGGGGAGAGGGAGTGAGATATACATGTTCCATTTAGGGCTCAGCACACCACTGTCCAATCAGAACATGGTTGGTTACATACATTCATGCCACTGTTGCACCAGTGGGCATGTCTTGCCAAGCCAGTTGTTATTGTAGTTCACAGGAAACTAACTTTTTTCATCTATTAAAGAGCAGTGACACTCTCCCTCTCCTAGCAGACATCAACTGCATGCTTAAATGCATGGCCCTCACCACACATCCACTATTTCACATGGATGCTGGCATACTAAAGAAGGTAGCAGTATATAAAGGGGGAAATTCCCAGAATCTTTGGGGTGTTAATCCACTGCTCCCCCGTACACAGAAGGAGCTAAGGCAGCACATGTCTTGGAGGAGACCAGAAAACAGTGAACCCCACTTGCTTTCCTTTATAAGATGGTCTCTTCTGTTTCTCTTATATTCTCAAGAAAATTCAATATTTAATACTTTTTTATAGATGATAGAAACTCTCAGACTTCCTGTTGTATTACTCTGAAAAATGTATATCCCTTTAATGTTCTTTCCAGAACTTTATTACCAAGCAAAATATTATAACCTTTCATCATTCTTATGTCCTTTGGTTTAAAAAATACTTTCATCAGAAAGAACAATTATATTGAAGCTATTCTTGAATTGAGCTAAATATCAATAGTGTCTCCTAAAGCTAGGTTTCTTGGTAGTATGAAAATCTTTTTGAAGTTCAAGCCCTCCTCCAAGCACACACTGTTTCCAGAAATCCTGTCCATTAAAAGGGAAGGCTCGTGGCCCACACCTTTAATCCCAGCACTCGGGAATCAGAGGCAGGCAGATCTCTGTGAGTTCACGGCCAGCCTGGTCCACATAGTGAGTTCCAGGCCAGCTGGGGCTACTGGGAGACCCTGTCTCAAAAAAAAAAAAAAAAAAAAAAAAAGAGAGAGAGAGAGAAGGCTCAATTAATGGCTAAGAGTTTATGTTAAATAGATGCTTCTTACCAGTAATTTTTTGTGTGTGTGGAAAAAAGCCTAAGGGAGCTTAGATATTAAAGTCCAAACTCTCCTTTTTAAGGACGAGATTACTAAAGCAGGATGCCAAGTTAGGATAGTCCAAAACTGCCAAGAAAGATGGCGTTAGCTTAGCCTCTTAGTGGAACCGGAACAGATGGTTCATGAAGCTAAAGCATCCCCCTCAGGCCAGGAAATAAAATTAAAATCCTGGCGTTACTCAACGTCAGCATAAACTCATGGAATAAGCTTTTCAGATTACAGCCTGACATTTCTTCACATTTGAGCAAAACACCTTTGCATAAAACAGCCAAGCAAATGGTCTGGAGGACTGGACCAGACGGATCAAAAACTTCAGTTCCCAACGTCTCCAGATGGGGGCAACAGCTCGCCAGCAGGGAATACCTGAAGAGCCCTGGTTTTGCTTTGAACTGCTGTTTATTTTATCAGGGTAGACTCGTGTTACTTGGCAGAAGTATCTGTACTCCTTTTGGTTTTGGTCAGTTTTTTTCAGCCTGAAGACATGTGAATCTTTGAATCACATCCAGGACAGCTCATGCAGCAAGAAAAGCCTTATATGTCCCCAAATAGATTCCCTAGAATTCTCCCCTGCTGTGAGCAGGCTGATGTGTTTGTCAATATTACAAATTGTTTTCCCAAAGAGCCACCCATTTCTCAACAACATGCCTTCCAGCCAGCCTGGAACTTCCCACATATTGCTTACTGGGTCAACACCCCTGAATCTGAGACAATAAAGAAGGAAAAAGTCAATTTGAGGGGAGAAAAATAGAAGCACCCCACAAGCTACTTCTGGAGTAAATAGGCATGCTCATACGTTAAAGAGCTGCAGATGTAAAGGCTCAGTGTTTCTCAACATCTTCATAATGAATGATTTGAATCTGTCCAAAACACCGAGGACATCCAAGTGCAAAGATTAATCACAAATGGTGACAGGAAAGGTCGGGTCACCAGGCAAAATTTGTAGGTGTGTGGTGAGGGAAAGTACTAGTCCAAAAATGTTTCCTGATTTTTCCAGTAGCTGGAGGCACTCAGCTGGCCTTAGAGAGATGAAAAATTAAGGGGATAGACAGTGAGAGTGACAGATGCCATCACTGGTGCTGCGTGAGCCTCAGAAATAATGCCAAAGAGTCAAATACAGTAAAACTGTGGAGAGAGAGTCCAAAATCTCACCAGGATTCCTAGAAGAACTATATTTTACCTGATACTATCTATTCTCTTACGAGAGCTCAAGTCTGAAGATACTAGACAAGGCCTTAGAATGAAACCTGAGCCCCTTAAAATGTTAGGAAAGAGTTCACACTGCTTTCTAAATGCATGGATTGTTAAACTGTTCTAAAACTGAGATTTTTTCCCCCCAGCTATTAAACAGAAAGAGCATGCTGAGTTCACTCAGTGCTGCAGCCTGTGATCCCAGCCCTAGGAGGCAGAAGCAGAAGGATCATGAGTGTGAGGCCAGCCTGGTCTACATATCAAGACAATGTCTCAAAAACAAAGAAGAGGGAGGAGGAGGAGGAGGAGGAGGAGGAGGAGGAGGAGGAGAAGGAGAAGGAGAGACAAGAGAGAGATAGAGACAGAGACTGAGAGAGAGAGAGAGAATATTTTTTATTAAAACGACAAACAAAACAACCGGGCTCGCTGGTCCATTCCCTTAATCCCAGCATGCTGGAAACAGAGGCCAGTGAGATAAGAGGCCAGCCTGATCGAAGAGGAGGAGGAGGAGGAAGAGGAGGAGGAGGAGGAAGAGGAGAAACGGGAGGAAGAGGAGGAGGAGGGGGAAGAGGAAGAGGAGCAGGGGAAGAGGAGGGGAGGAGGAGGGGGGGAGGAGGAGAGGAGGAGAAACAGGAGGTAGAGGAAGAGGAGGAGGAGGAGAAACGGGAGGAAGAAGAGGAGGAGGGGGAAGAGGAGGGGGAGAGGGAGGAGGAGGGTGAGGAGGAGCTTGCTTGGTTATATTTGGTTCTTATTTTAGTTTTATAGTTTGCCATAAATTTGATTAATTTATATGCCATTAAATCAAACTCATGGATAATTTTAATGTGTGACAGTCTACAATTACTCTTTTTTTTTTTCCCAGAAAGGTTTATTTTCGTTCACAGTTTGAGGACACACATCGTGGCAAGGAAGGCACAGCAGCCTTAATGTCGGGCAACTGGTCACACTGCTTACTCAAGGTGCAGAGAGAGATGAACAATCTACATTTACTCTTAAATTTATATTTCTTGTGTATGAACTTTCGAATGAAGTATTTAGCTTACTTTTAACAAAAATATATTTCTCCAAATGCCCAAAATATCTTTAGCACTCACCAGTTACAAGCAAATTATCAGGATGCCATTTATAGATCACATAAATGTTTGTCTTTTTAAGAAGGTTCAGTAGGACCTCTGCACAGCCCTGTTCTATGCCTATTTGTTCTAATTTACCACATGGCCTTGAAAGGAAACGTTGGATATCCTATAAAAATAGCTCAAACCTTTCTCCAGCTCAGCCTGGCCACTCTTCCAATTATTTTTGACTTAATGAGATTTTACTATTCTTCTGAAAGGTTGATGTCACAAACATCTGAACCAGCTTGGTGGGATTCAGCCATTTCTCAAAAAC